TAACCGAATGTGTGAAAAATTAAATTTAACTTCCCAATTATAAATTCACCATTGCGCGAGACTCGATTAAGCCGGACAAAACCATCTAACTCTGCAAAATCCGCAATCGAAAATCATAAAATCTCGATTAATTCAATACAACATTTAGAGCAACTCTCAAAATTCAATATCCGGGCAATAGTTTTGACAGTAGAAGTAACACTGATAATGTGAAAAATTAATCGCGTAGTAACGCTCGACATTCAGAGAATCAGAAGTTAAGAAGCAGAGAAATTTCCTTTTATTCGGGGTGACTGAAGAATAACTCCAAAGGAAAGTTACGGAATGACCGACACAATCATATTCGAAATTAGAAGATCAGACGATTGACGACGCAACAATTTTTCACAGGTGACACAACATTTCTGTGCATAACAGGTTTACACAAATCACACGGTAATATATTCAGGATAACGGGTGAGTAAGCGAAGTTTACCGAACGGCTTCGTATAAAATTGATAACCCAACCAACGCACGGATTTAATTGATTTCAATTCGCTGAACAACTCGAATTTATTATCAGGTTGCAAACCCTCAAGGTTAGAAAAAGTTCATACGCGAACGACCCAATTCACACTAACTGAAATTTGAATTTGATTACATTACCAGTAAATAGATTTTCCCCCTGATCGGACAAAACAGAACTTATTCACTTAAGGGAATGGAACTTTATTCAAGACACAGACTTCACCGACAACCGAGGTTACATCCAAATAATACACGCACTTCAAACACCGTTCGGGGAACTCACAAACAATAATATCAAATACCCGATCTCAATAGCGTACATCATAAATCACTTTTGAAGAAACTTGGCACTTTTTTATCGTGGCGGCTGAGCGGATGCGAGGCCGGGGTGATTCAGATTGAGATTACCCAAATCTTGCGGGTAACGATTATTTTAAGTTTGTGGCGAGATTGATTCGAGCGGCTAGATCAATTCCTCTGGTGGGATCTAGGGGAGTGAGGATTAAAAGGTCTGCAAATGAATGGCAATATGGCTAGTGTATTAGGATAGTTTGGATTTATTCGTCCGTGAGGTCTGAATCACAATCAGCTGGGAGGGCACCCGAGGTGCATTGACTTAATTTTCTCTGGGTTAATTTACTTCCGCGTCGCGGCGGTTCGGGTGTCGCGATAGCACGCTTTAGCGGCGGTAGGTTACTGGACGCCGGAGTGCTGGTGCAGGAATTCTTTTTCTGCATAATGGCGGTTTACACGTGATTCTGTCTCGCGATGCTAAGATTTCGAGCTCTGCTGTTTAACGGAAGTTGATGGTTTTTTAATTTATCCGGTTGGCCGGAGCAGGGCATGGAAATCGCGATAATGGTTAGAACTCGCTCGGAAATGAGGGGTTAAGAAATAATCTAAAATGAAATGAGGATGAGTCGTGCTTGCGAAGGATCCTCTACCTGGCTTGTTCAGCGGCCGTATTCGGTGACAGTCTCCTTTGATCGACCCAGCCGGATGACTGCGTGAACACCTTCGTCCCGTCTCGTGCCCTAGGGTTGGAGGTCTCCTAGAAGCCTCCCGTCCAACATAAGTCGCAGTGCCGCCGTCTGGTCCTGACTCGGTGGTTGGATCGCTGGAGTACCGGATCGCACTCCTGTAGCTCGCAGGATAGTGGTTCTTGGCAGGGAGTCCGGCGGTCTCGGTCTCTGACTCGCTAGGAACGGAGTACCGGGGACCAGGAGCTCCACTCGAAGTTCGATGATATGACACTCGACTGAAGACTGACGTGTAGCGTAAGAACTGACACTGACTTATGACATGTCGTCTCGATCGGACTGCTGGTTTTATTAGCAGGGTGTTCCAAATGGTGGGGGTTTCCTAGGACCCAGGTGAGGGTGGCGTTTTTGGGTCGTGCTGACGCTTTGCGTGGTCATCAGGTTGGTTGCCCCGGGTCGATCGATGACTTTTGGGGCCGTTTGGCCAATGAACTTGTTGGATCCTTTCGCAAGAGTTTCCTAATCGCGTTTCCGTATTCGGATTTCCATGGCTAGCTCCCGTGATCGGAAAATGGGTTTTTCCTATGTTAGGGTACGGAGGGTGTCTACGTAACATCACAAAATCGAATCTGAATCTCAACAACTCGATCCTGAAAAATAATTCGACCCGATAAGCTACTATAGGAGAAAGGGATAATTGACCGTGATACTAACGAAGCGTTGAAATTGAAATTTACTTAAATGCTCACCTTAAGTGGTGATGGAGTTCTGGAGAAGAAAAAGGGTCCGGTGCTGGGCCTCTGAGTTCGATCCGTTCCTAATTGCCTGAGGCTACTGGTGTCACTTGTCCAAACAAATCCGCTCAAGTCCTCACAAGTCCTTTACTAATTCTGTCGGCTTCGTGTACCTCTTCTTAACTTGCTGATGCTAATTGCTCAAAAATTTAAAACAGAGTGCGCTCCCGGCCGAGGTCCAGGTTTTCCGCGGCCTCCTGGACAAGGAGTAGGAGCTAGAGGCCCTCCTAGGTGGGGTCCACCTCCCCCTCGTGCCGCCACCTTGTCGTGGTGAGGGGGCTTAGTACCCATGGGCTGATGATCCTCTGGGGCGATGCCGGCGGGGGCTTCGGCTCCCGGTAGGCACTGCCGTGCCGGTAAGGTCCGGAGGTGAAGGCCCGTGGGGAAGCTAACGGCGGCACGTCTCCTCGACGTTAATGAGGTGTGTTCCCCCGGCGACAACGGGGGACTTTATGGGTTTTAATGTCGACTACGGGAGAAAAGTTTACTGCTCAGGGGCTCGGATCCCCAGAGCCGGCGGGTGTGGGTGGTGGTCAAGCGGGCTCCTCCCCGTCGTCATCCGACAACCGTGAGGCGTCTGCGGTGAGCAACCAGGCCCAGACACCGAATAAAGCTACTGGAAATTTAGGGAAGAGAACTCGCCCCGCCCGGGCGGTCGTCAAGCTCCGGCGGGTCGACGAGGAAGGTGGAACCTTTTCCAGGGCGTCCTCGGTGTCCTCCCTTCTGGGGGACCTCGAAACGGACGCCTCGGAAGGAGGGTCGGAGAGCGAAGCGTCGGGTGCTTCGCTGCTATCCCTATTAGGGAGACGGAAGCAGGGCCGCCCCCCGATTACCGGGGAATATGTCGGCCTGGCAAAGGCCAAGAGGGAGTACCTTGAGCTCCTACGTATTGAGCGCTAGACGGAGCGGGAGATCGCGGACGTCGAGGCTCTCGACGAACCGTCCATCCCACCGCGCGGAGCTTCCCGCAGCAACGAGGCGTTGCCCACCGCGGAAGAACTGGCGGAGGAGTTCTGCCAAGAGCCCTCGGGGGCGCTGGCCTCCCGGGTGCTGGAGGAGCTCGACCGGGTGGACAAGGTGGCGGACCGATCGAAGCGCCTGAAGGGCGACTTCGTCCGCGCCTTGCGCTTCGCCTCTTTGGCGACGAGGGCGGCGTGCACAGAGCTGACGCTCAGAGCGACCGGGCTGGGAGGAAAGCGTCTGGAACGCGAAAACACCGAGCTGCGTGGCCGCGTTTCGGACCTGGAGGAGGAGGTTGCCCGCCTCAAGGGGCGACTCGAGAGGCTGGGCACCGAGGGGCGCATGGGCCCTCCGGGCCGGCCGGAGCGGCGGAGGGCGGCCGCGGTGCGGGGCGCTTCCGACGTCGCTCCCGGGGTTGCCTCGGAGGACGCGCTTGGGGGAGGAAACGGTGGTCCCGCGCCACCATGTCGGAGGAGCCGGTGGCCGGGGCGGTGACGCCCCCTGCCGACGGGCCTTCGGACCGTGATGAGGCCGTCGACCGCGCACTTCTGCGCCGGGTCGAGGAGCTCGTGGGGCGTGAGCTCCGCTCATTGAGAGAGGAGCTAGCCCCACTCAAGCGGCTGGCCGCGACTCCGACCGTCGCGCCTTCCCCCCTTCCTCCTCCGGCGGATAAGGCCGGTGGCGGGCGGGGCGGGAAGGAAGAAGAAGAGGAAGGGGAAGAAGGGTACGGGTGCACCCGTACCCTCTGACCAGCCGTCGGGGTTGTCCGCAGCAATGGATGTGGACCCCCCGCCGGGCGCGGAGGGATGCGACCCCACATGGACCCAGGTGGTCCGAAAAAAGACCAAATCCGGCCGGGGGGTGGCGGCTGGAGAGATCCCGGGGAAGGGTCCCCGAGACCTCCTGGAGGGCACCGCGGAAGAGGTGGCCGGCGCCTTGGCCGCCGTCGGGGGCTGTCAGCTCTCCGAGGTAAGGGTTGGAGAACCCCGGTTTCCGGGGAGGAAAGCGCTGGGCACAGTATGGGCCCAGTGCCCACTCGTGGCCGCACGTAAAGTGCTGGCAGAGGGGGGGGTGAGGATAGGGTGGGGTGTCTGCGGGGTCGACTCGCGTCTCGCACCCTGCAGTGCTACCGCTGCCTGGAACCAGGCCACGTGGCAGCCAACTGTCGGGACCGGCCCGACAGGAGTAACCGGTGTTACCGGTGTGGTGACACCGGCCACTTGGTGGGTGCATGTCGGGCGGAGGGGGCCAAATGCCCCCTGTTCTGACAGAGGGAAGGCGTCCGCGCACAGAATGGGCACGAGAGAGTGCCCGTACTTTGTGCGGAGAGGGAAGCCGGCCCGGTCCGCGGCGGGGGTGTGGGTAGGCATTTTCTCCTCGTGACAAAAAAAAAAAGGTGGGGTCCACCTTTTGCTGTTTCTGCGGATTCCTAGACCTCGGTAGTGCCTCTGGGACACTGAACCTGGTGCTGACGCGGGGTTTCGCGCCCGGGGACTTCGACCCCCGCGAGCCCGTGCGCACCTTTGGAATGCCAGCTCTACATCTTACTTCGTCCCGGTGCAGGGCTCGCTTCCCCTGATCGCGGTTTTATTTTAACGTTAGAATCTAAAATTTTAATTAGACTACATCGGGACGTAACTCTAGCACGGCCACATTGAAATTTCAAATTTCGGAAAAATGCTGGGGGTACAAAATTATTTAATTGAGCACAAAATTAGCACATAATTAGCACATAATCCCTCTGTATTCAGAAATCGTGAATTGAGATGGCGTCGTGCTAGCTTGACGCACCTAATTATGGTAGCCTAAGTTAACACCAAACGTACCGACAATTCATAACCCTACTACCAATACCATTTAAAAACGGTCACTTAACTGGCCGGTGGTACGTTTAATGTTAAAATTATATCACGTATAGACAGAAAAAAAGTAAAACTAATGATTTGTACGCATTTTTTTCGACATAAAGCCGTCTTAAAAATGCAATTAACATGGTATTTATATCAACAAACTTAAAGCTATTCTCGAGCGTTATAGTATATCAATTTGAAAGATTCTGGCTGTCCTGTCGTCTGATGTTGTCAATACGGTCCGTGCATTCCTAAAAAAAATTGAAGGCAGTTCTGATTATTGCACCAAATTTAATTCGTGCACGCCGCTTATTAACGATGTGCATTCCGAGTACTTAAAATCGTCATGTAATTATCGAATCCGCAAAGGAATTTATAAGGTCGATAAGATGACATTAGTGTAATAGCGACAAGCGTCGAGCGACAGAATTTTCATTGCTTTAATGGAATACACCTTCACTGAACAGCACTCTGTCGCAGCCAGGACATGCGGCGTCGCAGAGAAGTTCAAGATTCTAAACTTTCATGGGACAGAAACCGCTAAACGCACGACGGAAGTTCTACTCCGCTGTTTCCCTGCAGCCAATCGGATCGTCTTATTCGCGCTTCGTCGCTCCGTCGCTTGTCGCTGTAGCGCTAATGAAGTATCGGCCCAAAGCGACGAATTAATATAAATTTTGAACCCCGGTGGCTATTTTTAACAAGTAATGTATTGGTGTAGACTCACTCGCACACGTGTACATCGAGTATCCCTGCAGTGTGTCCATTATACGACTTGACAAGTTGTCCAGTTTTTGCATTAAAACATCTCAGAATGCCATCTAGGCCTGCAGAAAAGAGTATTGGAGTTGTGGACATCCAAACCAGTTTGCTTATTCCACCTTCTTGCTGAATGTGATGTCTTATTAGCTACAAAACAAAATTTTGTAGATTTATTCACAGGGATTTTTAGTAGCCGTAGGCGAAGTGATGTGGAGGAATCTAGCCACAGGTCATCGTTCTCATACTGTTACCAAAATACAATTTTGAAAGTACTACATTATCCTGACCCGGAGATCCCTACTCGAGGGAGAAGCAATGGATTTTTCGGACTAATTAACTCCACAAGGTTTACATTTTTCAGGCAAGATATTTTTCTCTGTACTTATTTACTACTGTGTATAATGATCATTTAATTTTTTCGGAAGGTGGTATTGGGCATTGTCTTAAATATTTTGTGGAATATTTCGAAAAAGGTTCAAAAACAACGAAACCTTTTTGAAATTGCAAAATTTTCAGCCGTTAGGGCTGTGCGATAAACAGCATCGGACCTGAAGTACGGCCGATTATATTGAAATTTTCTGTAACTAGTCCCATTATTTGTCTTTTTCCTGCTTCCGACGAAGACTTCGCGGATTACCAAAGAATTACAATAGCGATGAGAGTCTTTTCGGTACTGGAAGTGCGACTGAAACCGGGACGAGGATCCCTTATTTCGATTTTAGAGATTCATTCTCGGGTCCTTTTCCTCCGTCTTCTTTGTCTAGTCCATTAGTCAAGGCGAATTTGAAACTTTATCATGCTGGCAACCGGGAGTGTGCCACGCACGTGACTCTCAATTTGTTTCTCGGAGGAGATTTTTCATTGACACGGGCGACCTTTCCATTTTGTTGCGTAGGCGACCCTACTGTCCCTAATGATTTCTGGTACACCTATTTTAAAACGGGACCGGGAGAAAGGATTAGATTTTGGTTGACTTTGCAGGAAGTCGTAGGGCTCCTCTACTGGAGGCGAGAGCAGATTTATCGCTTTGTCATGTCCCGAATGTTATATATTTATAATTGTTTTTATATCCAGAATTTCAAATATTATCTATTCGTTCTGAGACTCATAAAGCTACCTTTTGCCTTTGGCGAATTATAGTCTGCTGGTGAAAATTTAGAGTTGTCTACCTTATTGACTTACATTGTTCAACGGGTATCTTCGACATGCAGTTAAGTAGATATAAAGTATTGCCGAATATTTCATATAGACACTGATTTATATAAAACACATATTTTACTACTGTGTCAGGAAAGTAAGCTAATACCACTGCCATTCTGTGACAGAGTTCGAAAAGTTTGGGTTACTACAAGTTTAAAAGAGTTTGTTTTACATAAAAAAATCTAGCTTTTTTAAAAAATACATTTTTTATATTCGATACATGTTTTTTTAAACCGTTATGTTTCGAGAAAACTGAGATATATTTCTGAAATATAAAACTAGTTTATCAAGAGATCTGGTCGGGTCCCGTGTCGAGTACAAGCCGACCACAAGGATCTTTTATTCGAAGTAGCGACTCCACTATAAGCATCGTGCTCCACATCTTAGGCACCCACTGGGTACTTCAGCATTTAGAATGTCCTCCAAAGAAGGTCGGATCAGGATTCTTCTGGGAGTTCAAGTGCGACCAACCGAGAGTTGTGGTGTGCGCACCAACAGAAGTGGCGTAATCGGAATAGTTACACGGTTTTCCGACATGATCATATGACCACTTCTCCGGAAAGGCAGAGGCAGATGCACGAGGTAAGTGGTGCCTCTCATTAGGCTAGCTAGTTGACCGCACCTCGAATCGATGTGAGGGGTGGGTTTGCATGGCCTGCCCTTGAATCGGTACTCGGCTCGCCAAGGTGAAGGCTAGCATTTTCCGGCCCATATCCCGCCTGCTCGGTTGTGACGTTGGGGGGGCGGGGCAGATATGGCTGCTTACGCGGCCCAGGTACTGTCCTCGAGAATAAATACGAAGGCGACAATGTAATCCTTCTAACTGCATTGCAAATAGAACTGGTCCAATTTAATATGAAGCAACAACGTAATTCTCAAGAAACCTTAAGAACACTTATGAGTCTTCATTGCATCTTTACAATCTTCTATTGAGGATCAAAAACCTATCAATCCCGCCAAAGAGGCTGTCCGAGCAGCTCGTGAAATTCTCTCCTTATATCTCAAATCATAATCTGGTTACGCGGGTGTACAAGTTAATTCTTCTACCATCACTAAACCACTCGGAGGAATCTACAAAATTTCTTCGGCCCCACTAGCCATTCGGCCGCCACGTAACAATATTTTAAATGACATATGTAAGATATATATTCCATATATAAGAGAAATCAAATTTATAACGTCTAAACTTAATATTTCTTCTGTAATTATTCTCTTATATAGACGATCGGGCAAATGGCATAATTCGGAAGTTAGTGGATCAGAAGCACAGAATGTGTGATGTACCTAACTAACGACGCAGGTAATGTTAATCGTTTTATTAATGCTTCTAACGACCAATCTTCTCTACCAGCTATGCATGTAGATGACACGAGACGGTAGCCCCGACATTGCTACTTGTAGTGATGACGAGACATCTCTCGTGTGCGAAAAACTTGTACTGACCACAGATTCTTTGAGCACATTACATGGTCGAAGAATCGTAAACACTGACCATTTTTTAAAGAATGTTATGGAAATTACTGTACATGTTCCACGTGAATGCACCGTGCCCAACATGGACCCAATTTCCGAAATTCAAAAATTTGTATCAGTTATAAAATTAAAATGCAAAATGTGCAGTATTTTCAAGTGTACCTCCTGACGAATATGAGGGTAAAGAAAACGCGCCATAATCATTTTCGGTGGTAAAAAATTTTGCGCCAAATATACTTATTCTCAAATTCGTCTTCTCTCAAAACATACTCTTAAAAAACTGACATGTAAAGTAAAGATTGTATGAGAAAAATAAACAAAATCAGTTTAATTAAAAAAGAATATCACGGATATAGACAAAAATGGTATCCTTCCATTATCCGCCAAAGAAAGCATAGAAATCAATTACCAAGAAAGTGCGAGGAAAGTCGCGAAAGGGGGAGAAGAGGTGGAAGAGGGCGAAGAGCGACGCAAAAGGGCGAGAGGGTGAGGGCATGGGCGAGAGCAAAAGCGAGATATTCGAAAAGACCCCGCCATGTGGCCATTGTTTATTGTTTGGATGACGTCGCTTCAGTGACACTGAAAGCGGTCGATAGGAAAATTTCATGCATCCCAAGCGAAACGAAATATTTGAAATTGCATTAAAATATCGGTGTGAAGCCAAGAGCTATTTGAAAGGATGTTTTTTACCGAACGTGATCATGGTTTCATATTGTGCACTGTATTAACTCTCAACTAATGTGTTACGTAGACACCCTGCGTACCCTAACGTAGGGAAAACCCCATTTTCCGATCACCGGAGCTAGCCATGGAAATCCGAATACCGAAACGCGATTAGGAAACTCTTGCGAAAGGATCCAACAAGTTCATCGGTCAAACGGTTCCAAAAGTTATCGATCGACCCGGGGCGAACAACCTGATGACTACGCAATGCATCAGCACGACCCAGGAACGGCACGCTCACCTGGGCCCTAGGAAACCCCCACCAATTGGAACACCCTGCTAATAAAACCAGCAGTCAGATGTCATAGTCATGTCAGTACTTACGCTATACGTCAGTCCTTAGTCAAGCGTCATATCACCGAACTTCAAGTGGAGCTCCTGGTCCCCGGTACTCCGTTCCTAGCGAGTCAGAGACCGAGACCGCCGGACTACCTGCCAAGAACCACTATCCTGCGAGCTGCAGGAGTGCCATCTGGTACTCCAGCGATCTAACCACCGAGTCAGGACCAGACGGCGGCACTGCGACTTTCGTTGGACGGGAGGCTTCTAGGAGACCTCCAACCCTAGGGCACGTCACGGGACGAAGGTGTTCACGCACAGTCATCCGGCTGGGTAGATCAAAAGAGAATGTCACCGAATCCGGCCGCTGATCAAGCCAGGTAGAGGATCCTTCACAAGCTCGACTCATCCTCATTTAATTCTAGATTATTTCTTAACCCCTTACTTCCGACCGAATTCTAACCATTATCGCGATTTCCATGCCCTGCTTCGGTCATGACTTCGTATCGGCCTTGCCGCCGACCGCACCTGGAGGGTGAGCCTCCTTATCGGTCCCCCCATTGCTGGGGGGTTGCACTCCCTACTCCACCCGGAAACCCCACCGCCAAAGGGGCCCGAAGGCCCAAGCCGGGCCGGAAAAACCGGAATGCTCCGGACCGATCGTTCAAACCCCGGGGTGGCGCTTGCCGGGACAGGGCCTCCGCGACGCACTCCCCGAAGGGAGGCCGCTTGACCCCACCCGTTGCCCGCGGGGAACCTCGAGGAGGTCCCTCCCCTGCACCCGCGTGGTGCGAGCATTCGTGCAAGGCGCCAGCTGAGACGTAATGCTCCAGCGTGGTTTGACGAGCTTTCCAGGCTAGGTCGGGTGGGAACCCGATCCATCGGCCGAGTTGACCCGGCAAATATAGGATCGGTTATCCCACCTTCCCTGCTTCGGTCAACCGGATAGATTAAGAATCCATGAACTTCCGTTAAACAGCTGAGCTCGAAATCTCAGCATCGCGAGATAGAATCAGGCGTAGACCGCCATTAAGCAGAAAAAGAATTCCCGCATCAGCACTCCGGCGTCCAGTAACCAACCGTCGCTAAAGCGCGCTATCGCGCACCCGAACCGCCGCGACGGAGAAGTATACTAACCCATAGAAAATTAGGTCAAGGCACCTCGGGTGTCCGCCCAGCTGATTGTAATTTAGACCTCACGGACGAATAAATAATACGCTCGCCACATTGCCATTCGTTCGCACCCCTTTTTATCCTCACTCCCCTAGATCCCACCAGAGGAATTGATCTAGCCGCTCGGATCAATCTCCTCACAAAATTAAAGTACTCGTTACGCGCAAGATTCGGGTAATCTCCATCCGAATCACCCCGGCCTCGCATCTGCTCGGCCGCCCCGTAACAGAGTAATTTTTAATTATTCCTATTTTTCTGTATATGAGTATGAAACTTTATGAAAAATGAAAATAAAATTACTTATGAAAACAGAAACCGTCAAGTGAATGTGAAAAAATTCATAAATGTACCGGCTGGGGATCGAACCACCACCCCGGCGATCCGAGATATAGCGCTCTGTCCACTAGGCTATTAGCCGTTTCGAGAGTTGCTATACCCATGTTGTTATGAGGTTATACTAAATATTTAAATAATTATTTCTTGAAAATTCCCGAAAGGTGCGCGCTATCACTTTAACAAATAGTTTTTTACATTGAGATCTAAACAATAACAAAGTATTGCGAAAATCTGAAATGACCATACCTGATCCAGTCGTTGTAAAAGGACATAAAAAGATGCGCTCAATCCACAATCTCATATTTCAACTCATGCAACGGCGACAAAAAATGATGGACGAGGCGACTTGCCAGGATTTTGCATCATAAAAAAATTAATTGTATTAAAGGAAATATCACCTGTTTGGAAATGTCCCATATAAATATTTTCCCTTGCAGTGTTCCTGTTGCAGCAACAACAAAGGTAGGATTTTTGCAAAAAGCTATAGACTCCACCCAATTATTTTCGTCAGGTTCTTCCGGACAACTTTTGGCTTCGACCCTCGTATCATTTTTTAAATCTTGCAGGATTTTAATAATCTGGAAATCAGTATATTTAGGTTAATAAAACCAGTAGTAAATAATGAAAGCAGGAATAAAAATAGCACAGGTATTTTGTAATGATCAATGTTTCAACAATAGTGAGAGTATAATAACAAATTATTCAAACAAAAAACACTCAGAATGTATGCAAACAATGCTAAAACCATTTTGTTTGAGCATAAGAGCATCATAATAATCAGTTAATTCAGTTGCACATTGAGATAACACTCTGAAATTTCCGTCTATCTATGTTCTGTGACGTGGCAGAATTCTTCCGTCACAATTCGAGGCGAAGCAGTGTCGCTGAGTATCGAATTTGTTATTTAACATAATTTCAGCATTGGTTGGAGGCACTCAGGGGCATCATTATCTATCAACATGATGTAAGTAATTGTACATTGTGGTAAGTCCATGTTCCGTGCATAATATTTCGTTTCGGTCAACAGAAATATCATTTCTGTCATACATCGAGCAATTGCTGCCGTGAAACCGCTCGAGACCTATTTCCCGTGTAGAAAACTTGCATGAAAAGCCTAGATAGTATCTACGCTAGGAACTCCCAGCGACAGCCAAGCTAGGCCGTAGATAGGACCCTAACATTGCCCAGCACAGGAAAGGCGCGCTTAAGAAAAAACACTTGGTGTGCGGTTGCTTGTTGATCCCAGAAGGAAGGATACAAAGCCGGTGAGCGTGAAATTACGAGGACGGGCGCAATGCGGGGTATTAGCCATGATAACTTAAGAGCTCTCCTGGCCACGGATGTAAGCATAAATGGAGGCAGGACTCCGAGGTATATTGGCCCCGATAGACCTGTTAAATACAGGACAGGCCCCGGCAGCATTAATAAGGATAGGAGCGCAACCCAGCGTCATTCTCCAAAATAAGAACTCAGTAGCAGGGATGCGAGTGTTAGTGAACATGGACAACCTAGGACAAGAGACCGGACTATTCAGACTGGTGGTACTAAACAGACATGCAGCGTTGTGGTACGGGACAGAATGCTGAAGACGAGTAAAATGACCAGGAATACAAAGGACACGAGAGTCAGAACGGAAAGCAGCGCTCGATTTATCAGGCCACCTTAACCGACTTGCACCATTAGCGTATATATACGCTCAATTTTACTGGTCACTATCATTCAGCCTGAAATTTGGCGATAAGGACCCTCTTTTTCATACTTCCTTATAAAGCAAATGGGTTAAACGCCTAGGAGTGACGGAACTACAAGAGCAATGGTCAGGAAAGATAGACCCGTTGTATTGGTCGGTAGGGAGAACACTAAATTTGAGGACCTTTTAAAGACGGTGGAGAGTTCAGTTGGTGTTATACCGGATGCGATAAGCGTTAAATCAATACGGAGTACCAGAATGGGAGCTATTCTGGTTGGAGGAGAAGGAGGAGGACTAGATAATGAAACTGGTTGAAGTACTGAAGAGAAAACTAGAAAGAAACGGCGATGGAAAGTGGGAAATTAAATAACGATTAAAGTCAGGGGCCTGGATTTACAACGAAAAAGCAGGAACTATTTGAGGCGATATGCCAGGTCTAAGATAGTGCAGTACGTATTGGACTTGACGGGGTCATGGTTATAAGTATTCACGCCTATCTATGGTAAAAATGCGTAGGGATCATAAATATGTTGCGACGGCGGCCCTACGTCCGCAACTTCGGACCGTAGGTCTAGCAGCCCACCGACAAACATGGCCCCCTTTTCCAAACTTCGGATCGGGTAGTAGATTCGCTTCCCTGATCCTCCGAGGACGCTAGTCGGATTTTACTACCCGACAGTCTTTTTTCCGATTTCCTTGTTCGATCGGCTACTTCCCTGCGACCCGGAGAGGGGGTGGCTTCTGGCCAGCACGGTTGCTGAAAAGGGCAAAGGAAGGTACAAAAACATAACCCTTCGTTAGATCAACTATCTATGCTTTTTAATAAATAAAATAAAATAAATAAGAACACAACCTGAAATTACAAAAGCGAGACCCAGTCTCGCCCGCTTATCTCTCTCGCTCGGGAGCACTCAAGCCCTTCACGAGGCGGCGCGAATATTTCAGCGTAGAGGCTCCTAACGGCCTGAACGGTCCCCGAAATACGCGACTCACCAGCCCCGGCTTTCCCTTTGGTTACGCAACCTCAGGCGCCCGGTCTCGATCAACTCCGCACCACCCTTTAGAATCCCGAAAGGGTCCGCGTTAGTAGTATTGGAGCCACTATAGGTAAACTAAACAAATGACGTCACCGGCTCCGAGTCAACCTGTGACGTCACTCTACGTCACGTACCTCCACTCTTGTCATCTCCCATAGCGTCAAGAGTGGTAGGGGTACGCTAGAGCGCTAGTGCGCGAGATCAGAGAAGTGAGAGAGACGAGAGAGACGAGAGAGACGAGGGAGACGAGGTGTTTTTCTTTTTTTTTTGTTGTCGGGGGTTCTCAACGAGGATCCAGGTTGAGTTCGCTGGTTCCCGAAAGGGTTTCTGGCGTTGCCTCGCGGAATGCTGCCCTACATGTACAGCAGTCTACGGTCGGTTGGGTTTGGAGTAGGCTGCTTTGGCAAAGGGCGCATCGTTCCTGAGAGTGATTTAGAGCCCGCAGCCGATGTCGGTGGGTGAGGGTGAACTCGGGCCAGTCCGGAGTCGGGGCTTGATTGACGTAGCACCGGTTGCAGACCGCATGCTGCCCCGTCTACTCAGCCAGCAAGCGAGCCGTGCAACCCTTGGGGCAACTCAACATTCGAGAGGCAACGAGTAGCCGAGGGGGGTGGCCGCCCCAGGATGACAGCCGTACGATACAGGGAGGGCCGAGCTCAGTGTGGGCCGCCGATGCCGCACCTTCTGTATCGGCTGGCAGACCCTTCGAGTCCTGACCGTGCCAGAGCCCGCCGTATAGGGGCTCGACATCGCGAGTGCCCTCCTCGTGGAACCTCATCTTATCGGGTCCTCTAGATAATGCCGCCCTAGTCCGAGATGTCCTGATCTGCGATCTCCTCCACAAGAGAGGATTTAAGTTTGTAGGGAAGCCTGGAGAGAGTGCAGAGGATTTTCTCCGCCGAATCGAGCAATGCGGCCGGGAAGCAGGGATCACACCAGAGGACGTCCTGCGGGGACTACCGACCATATTGGCGGGAGAGGCCCTGCTGTGGTACGAAGTCGAGGGCATGACATGGAAGAGCTTCGAAAAGTTCTGAACCCGGTTCAAGGAACAATTTGGAGTGTGGGGTCTCCAGAAGAGGCTGAAGGCAGAGGCCAGCAAACGGACCCAAGCCCCAAACGAGACCATCGCGACCTACCTATTGAAGCTCCGGCTGTTAAACAGCCTTTTGGAACCACCGATGAGTGAGGAGAAGCAACTGGATTGGGCCTACGAAAACCTCCCTTGTATAGGGAGCGCACCTCCAGGAGGACGATCCACACCTTTCAAGACCTGAAGGAACTGGGGCAGGAAGTTGAGATGGATCGACTGCATCGGCAAACCTACGCTCCTCCTCCTTCTACAGCCCGCTCCGCGGTAAAGGCCGTGGCCTACGCGGATGGGGATATTGATATGCGCCAGACGATGCAAGCCGTGGAAGCAGAGTCCCCCCATTATAGAGGAAGTAGATGTCTCTCAAGAACCCCGACGGAAGATAGGGCCCTCGATGATGCCGAAGAGGCCAGTCCTACCACCATCCGAGAAACCCCAAGTGCCGACCACCCAGCCTCCGCCGCCAGCGGTAACACGAGGACCCAAGAAGAGCAGTTCACCAAGACCCGCCCGGAAATTCACAGGTCCGCCACCGGGGATCTGTTGGAACTGTGGCCAGGAGGGACAAGACTTTTTCAAGATTTCCAAGACTGCCCGTACGAGAGGACGAAGTTCTGCTACCGGTGTGGCCATAAGGATGTGGTTACCCCTGAATGCTCCACCTGTAAGCAGAGATCTTCGGCAAACGAGAAGAGGAGAGGACAGTAAGGGTCGAGTTCTCCTCCGACCAGTTGAAGAGGACACATGCCCCACCAGAGCCCTTAACCACATTAGGGTCCCAGCACCACCTTCTTGTTGGCGAGCAAGACCCCGGTGTTTCGAGTGGTTAGGGGTGGAAGGGCGGAGATTGCCCGCTCTGGTGAATTCCAGAGCAACGCGCTCCTATGTAGAGCCCAGAGTGGCCGAAGTCCTCAAGACCCGTACCCGGCAGGTGGATAGCAAGGTCCGGGTCGCCAACGGTGAATTGGTGGATTGCGAGGGCGAACTTGAGGTTTCCCTGGAGGTTGGTAACCTCCGGAAAAACATCGTCTTGACGGTGATGTCCTACATGAGCCAGGATTATGTGCTAGGCTAGACTTTTTGATTTGCTTCTCCGTTCGGATGGACCCGATATGGAGTTTAGGCTACTGAGGGAGGGGAATGGAAGCCCACGTGGACAGAGTATTCTGCAGCCTCCTCCGTCACCCTGTATTCGGCTTGCTCAGAGATTTCCGGGGCCTCTCCCACCCATAGGGAAAAGATAGAGGCAATGCTGGAAAAGTCGCTCGTCAAATCCAATAGAGCCGTGGGTGTAACAGGTCTGACCAGGGATGCTGTAAATGCCCAAGGACATCTCCCCATCAAACAACGGCCGAGAAGAGTTTCCCCCGTGCCAAGGTGGACCACCTGCTCGCGGAGGGCATTATCGAGCCGTCCGATAGTCCCTGTTGCAGTTGTCCGGTGATAGTCCCGAAGCTCAATGAGAAGTACCGGTTCTGCATCGATTATGGGGATGTCAATAGGGTTACCAGGAAGGACGCTTATCCCCTTCCTAATATGGACAACATCCTGGATAGCCCGCAGTCCGCGAAATATATTTCCAAGTTGGACTTGAGTCAGGCCTATCATCAGATCGCCGTAGAAGAGGAAAGCCGAGAGATCATCGCCTTTGCCATCCCTGGAAGAGGACTCTTCCAGTTCATTCGGATGCCCTATGGACTCACCAATGCCCCTGCCACTTTCCAGCGCCTTATGGATCGCCTCATTCGACCCGAGTGG